CTTTCCCTCGGTCACTTCACAACGTGGAGATCACGGTGTACCAGAAAAGAGATGGAGTTGTCTCCCTCCCAAACCCAAATCCTTCCATAACGTGGAAAAAAATGAAGGTATCAAAGGGCGTCAAGGAAGCAGGGAGCCCAGGTCAGCGGACCCCACGCTATGCTTCTGGGACTAACGTATCTTGAAAAACTTAGCTTTTACTTTTTTTTTTTTTTTGCGGTATGTGGGCCTCTCACTGTTGTGGCCTCTCCCATTGTGGAGCACAGGCTCCGGACGAGCAGGCTCAGCGGCCATGGCTCACGGGCCCAGCCGCTCCACGGCATGTGGGATCTTCCCAGACCGGGGCACGAACCCGTATCCCCTGCATCGGCAGGCGGACTCTCAACCACTGCGCCACCAGGGAAGCCCCATATATACCTTTCTAAAAATGTCCATAGCATATTATTCCATTATCAGGGCATGCCAGGATACGTTTAACCCAAGCCCTCTGTCCGCTAGTGTCCACTTCTACCTTTTCCTACTAAAGACTAAACATCTTTGGATTAGACCTTTAGGTGCTTTATTAATTATTCCCATTGGGTAGATTTTAATGAATGGAAACGTGGATCAGTCTTCCACTGAAGTTTGATGTTTCCAGTTATTGGATTTTTTTCTTGGTCTAGACTCAGTCCCTTATACCACAAATGAATGGGTTTTCACCTTTCTGATTTTATATGAAACAAGTTACAGAGAAAAATGAGGTGACTTTATATGCCTTTTTCTTTTCTTCAAGATCTGAACACCTATCATCATGTCATTATATCTTCAAAGGTTTCTAACTTTATAACAGTCAAAGAAATCAAGAATATTTTATTCACAAGACTCTGTTTCAGCCAGTTTAGGAAAATTGGCAAACTCTAAAGGAAGAGATAAAGGAGACCAGAAATGAACAGGATTCTTAGAGGAACAGCTGAGGACTCTTTCTTTAAATAGAAGTCTCCAATTTTATAAACCTTCATACCAGCATTTGTTTTACTGACTTATTTGGTAGTCATTGCTACAACAGCCCATTCAGTTTGATGAAAAGTGAGTATTAAATTTAATCCAGTGGTGATAAAACACAAGCTTACTTTATGGTACAACAATGTGTTTTTGAAAACAGCCTGCAACATCTAGGTAGGATGATGTGAGCAAGCTATTTTTAGAGAAGTGCTGAATATTTAACAATGATGCTTTACAGATAAGAGGAAAACCAGAGAAAATAGTAAAAGGAATTTTTTTCTTTTAAACAGTTAATTGCCCCATCTATAATCTTAGAGTGCTCTGCATATGTCTTCAGACATTGATGGAACTGCCAAGAGCGGACTTCAGCTCACTGACACCATTTTTCCCTTCACCTTAGCAAGTTTGCACTTAAATTGAGATGTAAATACTAATCTTTTATTTTTTGAACCTATGCCCCACAACTTCATGGAGACTAGTGTATTTTAAGAGTATAATTCATCTGACATTACTCATTTGGGGGAGGAAGATGAAAGAAGCAGTATCCTCCTTCCCCTCCCAAATAAATATTTTATCCAAAGTTTGATATGCATCAATTTTTGCTGAATAAATAATGGTATGTTATGACCAATATTGTAATTCTTTTATACCCACTTTGTTGTATAATATACATTCATTTATGGTATAGTATCCTTAAGTTTTTTTTTTTTTTTAATAAGAATCAAATCACATAACCTATCTGAAAGTGCCTAACACAGTAGACCCTCCGTAAATGTACTCCTCCCGCTTCCTAGACCATTTAAAGATGCTTCTGTTCATACTTCATTCTCTGTGACTTTTGAAGCAAGCAGCAGATGCCCTGGCCTTTGGAGAGTAATCCAGAATGGCCTAGACAGGGAGACCTCATCCTGCACACATCCATGCCTTCCCAAAGAGCCAGGCTTCAGGGAGGCAGAGGGCAGGGACTGGCCAAGAAATGGGAAATAGTCATGCCTTGACCTTCCTCCGTTAACACAAGACTGGTTCCAGCTTTAAACAAGTACTCTGCCCAGGCATGAGGCCACCCCCAACAATACTGATGGAGAGACTCCCCAGTGATACAGTTAAGTAACAGTAATCTAAGGGATCAGCACATGTATAATCATCTCTGGTTGACTCATCAGTTCACATACTTTTCAGTTATAGTTCAGCAAGTATTTCTGCAGCCTCGGCTATGTTTCAGGCACTATTCTAGGCTCATGATTTTAAGACTGGTAAGCTATCAAGGATTCAAATTGCTGGCCCTCTTAGTTTCACTATTGTGGCTTTACCCTCTTGTCTAGGTTGGCCTTGCGAAATCCTTTGTGTCGCTTTCACCAAGAAGTGGAGACTTTTCGGCATCGGGCCATCTCGGACACTTGGCTGACTGTGAACCGCATGGAGCAGTGCCGGACTGAATACAGAGGGGCGTTATTATGGATGAAGGACGTGTCCCAGGAGCTTGATCCAGACCTCTACAAGCAAATGGAGAAGTTCAGGAAGGTAGGAGATTTCATGAGGGTTAACAAAAGGGGTACCTGCTGGAAGATAATGAGATGTGATTTGAAGCCCTCTAGTAAAGAAGATGTAAATCAAAAGCACCAAGGATGCAATTAATCATTGCTGGTGTCTCTTTACGTGACAGAATACCAATTAATGTGATCTATAATTCTCTAAGGATAAGATAGAAGAGACAGCTGGAAATTGCTGGGATTTAGTAACTGGTTTTAATTAAAGTCAGATTTTCATGTAATGTGCAGTTTTTGTAAGGCTGTCACTTGTAGATGCTTCTTCATGCGTAACTAAAAATCAAGATTAGACCAAATGAAACCGGAAGGTAAGAACAGACTATTGGGGAAATCCTTTTTAATTGCTAATGAATATTAAAATTAATAGAGTAATCGCCTTTGTTGCGTTTAGTTGTAGGATTAAATAATGTGGCATTGACTCCATCTGCAGTAGACCCTTCAGCTATTTGTATGGGCAAAATAGATAGCTGAGGAGATGGATATGCTCTTAAATTTACCTGAAATGACTGGTGAGCAGCAGAGGAACAATGTTTCATTGTTTGTTTAAGCGTCCGTGTCCATTTAGCTGTTTGGAGATTTGGTCCTGCGAGGATACATTGCACCACTAGGTGGCAGTCATACACTGGATATTTATGAAAATGCAGCGAGATTTTGTGTGTGTGTGTGTGTGTGTGTGTGTGTGTGTGTAAGCTTGGTAGGTCTTTGTTTGGTCGACTTGGATATATTTCAGGGTATGAAAGACCAAAAAATCAAGCAAATGTTAGGTTTGACATAATATTATGTCAATTGTCTAACTCATTTCAAATGATTCATTTGTAATTGTGGTATTGCTTAAAATACCTAGATTTCTAAGTACATCATTGCAGAGCTGTGAATGGGAAACCCTGCTAGTGTGCAGGAGGTTAGATGTGTGGGATGTGGGAGGGTGGGGGGAATGTGTGGAGAGGGGGGAAAAGAGGGACCTTCTGTTGCTTAAGAATAGGGTCACCAATTGTTGACCCAGGTATTAGATTGACACAAATTCTTTTAAAAGGCAAGTTTTACTTTTAGAATCCATCTCTATGAAGGGACTCAGAGTCCATTTTCTTTCTGATCGTAGGTGGCATTAGTGTGTTAGCAATATCCAATTCCTTAGTAAGGCAGGTTTCTGAGCTCATGGAAAATCGGAACTGAGAAGTTCCTTAAAGATAAGCTAGTGAAACTCACTCATTCTATAAAAGAGATAAACCTTAGGCCCCAAAATAGTAAATAAAACTTTTCAAAGGTTGATAGCTAGATGTTGGCAAACCCAGGCTACATTTGAAATTTCCTGACTTTTTAATCAGGCTGGTAATTTGGTTTGTCTTTGACACTTTATTTGGGGGTTGGAGGAGGATGGAGTGGAAAGGTTAAAAAAGGAAAAAGGAAACAAAATACCCAACATTATCTGCAGGGTATGATGCCAGTCACTGTCTATCGGTTACCTCATTTAAGCCTCACAATAACCAAGACACAGATTTTATTTTACAGAGGAGGAAAACGATACTTAAGTAACTAGCACAAGATCAGACAGGGAAATGAAAGTCAGAATCCTAGAAAATTGCATAATTTTTTCTTTAAGAGAGGAAAGGAAAGGAATTAAAGAACATACTTAAAATTGACAAAGGCATTTTCATAGTAACAACTCTCCTGTGATTTATTCATTCAACAAACATTTATTGTGCACTTTCTATGTGCTGGGTAATACAGTAAACATAAAATTATTTTGGAAGGCAGGAAAATTTCACGTGAAATTGTGTTTATTTGGTTTTGTTTTGAAGGGTGGTTACTAGCTGTGTAAGGATGAAATAAACCAAGCCCTTTGTCATTCGGTTTGAATGTTGAAACATTATGCACTCTGTAGTGTCATCAATCTGTCGATTTTGGAAAATATGGGTTTTTAAAAAAAAAAAAAAATCCTTTGCCATGCAGAAGTAGCTGAAGCAATGCCTTACTCCACAATCCCATGTGTGCTGGATTTACTTTAATAGCTGAACATGGTGTACTTAGACTTTAGAGAAATAATTTTTTTAAAAAGAATTCTGTGTTCAAGTGTATATTTGATTAGACTAGACTCTCCACAAGGACAGGGACACGGTTAGTTCTCTTTACTGCCACAGTCCCAGGGCCAGCCCAGCACCTGGTCCAAGTTAGCACCCATATCAGATGGCCAGAGGCGAGCCATGGCATTTGAGTGTCAGATTCATGCCTTCTCACACCTGTAGAGCTTTCCCACCACATGCAACTGACCTTCTAATGTTTGGGAAATTGATATATATGGCTTTGCAGGTAAGAAGTAGCATTATTAGTTTGTGGCTTGCTGCCCTCTTTGGAATGAATTTAAATTGTGGAGGTTGCTATTTGCATGGAGTTCATGGCATGAATCTTAACTTTGAGTCAGCTTTAGTGTTTTGTCCCAGTGGGATTCCATTTTAAACAGAGTCTCCATTTATCTCTCAGGAAAGTGTTACTGAAATGTGTGTTCTGAGTCCTCTGGGAGAGTGGTCCAGCTCCTTTGGAGTCACCGTGGGAGGGGGAATTTAGTCTCCTCAGAGCCAGCTGCCTCCCTCACATTCTAACTGATGAATCCTGAACTAAATTCTGTTCTTTGGGTTCATACTTTCTGAGGAAACAACATTCTAATTCATACTTCGCAAGTGTGACCCCCCCGCCCCGGGCTGGTTGCAATCTTTAGTGTGCACTTATTCATTTATTCATTCATCCAGCAAATGATATTGAAGCCCACCTTGTGCCAGGCCACCTGCAGCGGGATACAGTAGTGAGTGAGCAGACACAGAGGCTGCCCTGCTGTCCCGGGCAGTCACTTGGAGACAGAGCAAGTAAACATGGTGTGGTAAGGTGAACCGTTGTCTCAGGTAGCACATGGTGCCACAGGAACACCCAGGGCAGACTTCCTGGAGGAAGTGGCATCTAAACTAGCCCTGAAGGATGAGAGGGAAGGAGCAGGGTGGAGGGACTAGGGACAACAGAGTGCCAGTCTGAGGAAGCAACGTGGACAAAGGCCTTTAGGTGAAGGCAAACAGGACGAGATTAGCTCCTTTTAGATCCCTGCAACAAGAGTGTGAAAGGCAAAGGGGATGGGGGGCAGATAAGCAGACCACAGCTGAAGGGAAATCTCCCTGAGGGCCGAGGGGAATGAAAGGTGTTGAGAAGGGGAGGGGAATGATCCAATCTGTGTTCTCACAAGCTCGCTCAGATTTCAGTGGGGAGAAGGGATTGGAAGGGCCCAAGCCTTGAGGCTGGGCGAGCCACAGACGAGACAGGGATACCCCACAGACGAGACAGGGATACCCAGGGAATAAAGAGGGAAGTGGACCAGAGAGAAATAAATGTCCTGTTCTGACCTCCGCCAGACTCAGTAACAGCACCACGTTAATTACAGAGCTCTTCATTCGTTTTTAGAAATGAGCAGAATAAGTATGAATAAATGAAGAGCAAGATCAAATGTACTTTCACTTCCAACCAAGGCTTTTTTCCTAGTGTTTTCAAGATGCTAAGCAACTTTTTAAATAACACGCAGTGAGCATGACCAAAATGATGAATGAAAAACTTAAAATTAAACAAAGCAAATGATCTGTTTTCATTCTGGCACCCTTTGAGCCCACGGGCCCGATGACAGAGCTCTCAGTGGCAACATTAGTAAGTATTTCTTTTATTTTTTCTTTTTTTAACATCTTTATTGGAGTATAATTGCTTTACAATGGTCTGTTAGTTTCTGCTTTATAACAAAGTGAATCAATTATACATATACATATGTTCCCATATCTCTTCCCTCTTGCATCTCCCTCCCTCCCACCCTCCCTATCCCACCCCTCTAGGTGGTCACAAAGCACCGAGCTGATCTCCCTGTGCCATGCAGCTCCTTCCCACTAGCTAGCTATTTTACGTTTGGTAGTGTATATATGTCCATGCCACTCTCTCACTTCGTCCCAGCTTACCCTTCCCCCTCCTCATATCCTCAAGTCCATGCTCTAGTAGGTCTGTGTCTTTATTCCTGTCTTACCCCTAGGTTCTTCATGACATTTTTTTTCTTAGATTCCATATATATGGAATCTAAGCATTTATTAAGTGCCTATCTTTGGGGATGGAAGTACAAAGAGGAGGGAAAGCTTGATCTCAGCCCTCGAGAAGGACCCTGCTAATCATCTGTTCCTTGTCAAAATTACCATGGTAAACAAGACACCTGGAGAGTGGGGCCGTGTGTAGCTCTTCTCCTAAAGACCAAATAATGGGAAATGGTGGATGCATTTAAATGGGCAGGGCTGGGCTGCTGTTGCCATTGGAAACGCTCCTGACAGTGTGATGCACCCCAGGAGGGAAATGGATGGGAGAGGAGGCCACAAAGTATTTTATGAGCAGTTACAACGTGTGATATATGTGCCCTTTGAAGGCAGAGTAAAAGGGTATAACTTAAAAATAGAAGTCAGCTTCTTGTAGCAGATTACATCAGCTTAAGTTGTGAGCTCACAGAAGAGCTTTTGCAGCCTGATGCCCTTGAGAGGGTCCTCCTGGGGTCAGTTAAGTGTCTTGTTTTTCTTGAAAGTCAGAAATGGGATAGAGGGTAATTATTCTAAATGGAATAAAAGCTGTGCTAGGTGTAAGAAAATATTTCTGAATCCTCTAAAGAGATAATATGGAAATGTATATGTGGGCATTTGGATTAGTTGGAGTCCTTATAGACAAGGACAAGGGAACTGGCGTTTTAATGAGGGCCATTTATTAAGTGGATTAATGAAATCCTACAGCATTTGTCTTGTGTTTCACCACCATAATTCAAAAGGGTATCAAAAAAGTATTGTAGGGAATGTGAAAGACACACTGGTGTTCTCAGGCTTGTATCTATTTAAAAGAATGCTAGATTTTGGAGAGCTGTGAATTCGCTAGACATATTATCGAAGGGTATGTTACCGTGAGAAGGTTTGTTAACAAATGGTG